GTCTACGATGACGATGTCTACGATGATGATGTCTATGACGATGTCTATGATGATGTCTATGATGATGCTGACGACGACGATGACGATGTCTACTACGACGATGATGATGATGATGATGACGATTATGATGATGTCTATGATGATGCTGACGACGATGATGATGATGCTGACGATGTCTACTATGACGATGTCTACTACTACTACTACTACGACGATGACGATGATGATGCAGCGCACATCGAGGAGAGGTTCCGCTCCAGGCTGGCCGCGTTCTACAGCGCGGCCAGCAGCGAGCTGCACGGCAGTGCCCGGGAGGACGCAGAGCGAATGAACGCCTGGGCCCTGCGCCACACCGGGGCCCGGCTCGGGGACCTCGTCACGAGCCTCGGCGCCGACACTCGCCTCGTGCTGCTCAGCGCTCTCTACTACAAAGGCGCGGGGGGCGAGGGGGGCGAGGGGGGCGACTCACGACTACACGTCACGTCACTCACGACTCACGACACTCATCACATCACTCACGACTCACACGACACGTCACTCACGACTCACACTCACGACTCACACGACACGTCACTCATCACATCACTCACGACTCACACGACACGTCACTCACTCACGACACTCACGACTACACGTAGCGTCGTCACTCATCATACTCACACTACACGTCACGTCACTCATCACATCACTCACGACTACACGTCACGTCACTCATCACATCACTCACATCACTCACGACTACACGTAGCATCGTCACTCATCATACTCACACTACACGTAGCGTCACTCACGACTCAGACTACACGTCACGTCACTCATCACACTCACGACTACACGTCACTCACGACTCACATCACTCACACTACACGTCACATCGTCACTCATCACATCACTCACGACTCACATCACTCACGACTACACGTAGCGTCGTCACTCATCACACTCAGACTACACGTCACGTCACTCATCACACTCACACTACACGTCACGTCACTCATCACACTCACACTACACGTCACGTCATCACTCATCACACTCACACGTCACGTCACTCACGACTCACATCACTCACGACTCACACTACACGTCACATCACTCATCACATCACTCACACTACACGTCACGTCACTCACGACTCACGACACTCACACTACACGTCACGTCACTCACGACTCACATCACTCATCACACTCACACTACACGTAGCGTAACGTCACTCATCACACTCAGACTACACGTCACGTCACTCACGACTCAGACTACACGTCACGTCACTCATCACATCACTCACACTACACGTAGCGTCACTCATCACACTCACACTACACGTCACGTCATCACTCATCACACTCACACGTCACGTCACTCACGACTCACATCACTCACGACTCACACTACACGTCACATCACTCATCACATCACTCACACTACACGTCACGTCACTCACGACTCACGACACTCACACTACACGTCACGTCACTCACGACTCACATCACTCATCACACTCACACTACACGTAGCGTCACGTCACTCATCACACTCAGACTACACGTCACGTCACTCACGACTCAGACTACACGTCACGTCACTCATCACATCACTCACACTACACGTAGCGTCACTCATCACACTCACACTACACGTCACGTCATCACTCATCACACTCACACGTCACGTCACTCACGACTCACATCACTCACGACTCACACTACACGTCACATCACTCATCACATCACTCACACTACACGTCACGTCACTCACGACTCACGACACTCACACTACACGTCACGTCACTCACGACTCACATCACTCATCACACTCACACTACACGTAGCGTCACGTCACTCATCACACTCAGACTACACGTCACGTCACTCACGACTCAGACTACACGTCACGTCACTCATCACATCACTCACACTACACGTAGCGTCACTCACGACTCACACTCACACTACACGTAGCGTCGTCACTCATCACACTCAGACTACACGTCACGTCACTCACTCATCACTCATCACATCACTCACTCACGACTCACACTACACGTAGCGTCGTCACTCATCACATTGTCACTCACTCACGACTCACAACTCAGACTACACGTCACTCACGACTCACGACACTCACATTACATGTCACGTCACTCATCACATCACTCACGACTACACGTAGCGTCACTCACGACTCACATCACTCACGACTACACGTCACTCACGACTCACACTACACGTAGCATGATCACTCATCACACTCAGACTACACGTCACGTCACTCACTCATCACATCACTCACGACTACACGTAGCGTCACTCACGACTCACATCACTCACGACTACACGTCACGTCACTCACGACTCACACTACACGTAGCATGATCACTCATCACACTCACGACTCAGACTACACGTAGCGTCGTCACTCATCATACTCACACTACACGTAGCGTCACTCATGACTCACATCACTCAGACTACACGTAGCGTCGTCACTCATCACACCACTCACGACTCAGACTACACGTAGCATCATCACTCACGACTCAGATCCACGTAGCATCACTCATCACACTCACACTACACGTCAAATCACTCACGACTCACACTACACGTAGCATCGCTCACTCATCACTCACGACTACATGTAGCATCACTCATCATACTCAGACTCCACGTAGCATCACTCACGACTCAGATCCACGTCACGTCACTCACGACTCAGATCCACGTCAAATCACCCACGACTCAGATCCACGTCACTCACGACTCAGATCCACGTCACATCACTCACGACTCAGATCCACGTCACATCACTCACGACTCAGATCCACGTCACATCACTCACGACTCAGATCCACGTCACATCACTCACGACTCAGATCCACGTCACATCACTCACGACTCAGATCCACGTCACATCACTCACGACTCAGATCCACGTCACATCACCCACGACTCAGATCCACGTCACATCACTCACGACTCAGATCCATGTCACATCACTCATGACTCAGATCCACGTCAAATCACCCACGACTCAGATCCACGTCACTCACGACTCAGATCCACGTCACATCACTCACGACTCAGATCCACGTCACATCACTCACGACTCAGATCCACGTCACTCACGACTCAGATCCACGTCACATCACTCACGACTCAGATCCACGTCACATCACCCACGACTCAGATCCACGTCACATCACTCACGACTCAGATCCACGTCACATCACTCATGACTCAGATCCACGTCAAATCACCCACGACTCAGATCCACGTCACTCACAACTCAGATCCACGTCACATCACTCACGACTCAGATCCACGTCACATCACTCACGACTCAGATCCACGTCACATCACTCACGACTCAGATCCACGTCACATCACTCACGACTCAGATCCACGTCACATCACTCACGACTCAGATCCACGTCACATCACTCACGACTCAGATCCACGTCACATCACCCACGACTCAGACTCCACGTCACATCACTCACGACTCAGATCCACGTCACATCACTCATGACCCAGATCCACGTCACATCACTCACGACTCAGATCCACGTCACATCACTCACGACTCAGATCCACGTCACGTCACTCACGACTCAGATCCACGTCACATCACTCACGACTCAGATCCACGTCACATCACTCATCACACTCAGACTCCACGTCACATCACTCACGACTCAGATCCACGTCACATCACTCACGACTCAGATCCACGTCACACCACTCACGACTCAGATCCACGTCACATCACTACTCAGATCCACGTCACATCACTCACGACTCAGATCCACGTCACATCACTCACGACTCAGACTACATGTAGCATCACTCACGACTCAGATCCACGTCACATCACTCACGACTCAGATCCACGTCACATCACTCACGACTCAGATCCACGTCACTCACGACTCAGATCCACGTCACATCACTCACGACTCAGATCCACGTCACTCACGACTCAGATCAACGTCACATCACTCACGAATCAGATCCACGTCACATCACTCACGACTCAGATCCACGTCACACCACTCACGACTCAGATCCACGTCACATCACTACTCAGATCCACGTCACATCACTCACGACTCAGATCCATGTCACATCACTCACGACTCAGATCCACATCACGTCACTCACGACTCAGATCCACGTCACATCACTCACGACTCAGATCCACGTCACATCACCCACGACTCAGATCCACGTCACACCACTCACGACTCAGATCAACGTCACATCACTCACGACTCAGATCCACGTCACATCACTTACGTCTCAGATCCACGTCACACCACTCACGACTCAGATCCACGTCACATCACTCACGACTCAGATCCACGTCACATCACCCACGACCCAGATCCACGTCACATCACTCACGACTCAGATCCACGTCACACCACGACTCAGATCCACGTCACACCACTCATGACTCAGACTCCACGTCACATCATGACTCAGATCCACGTCACATCACTCACGACTCAGATCCACGTCACATCACTCACGACTCAGATCCACGTCACATCACTCACGACTCAGATCCACGTCACATCACTCACGACTCAGATCCACGTCACATCACTCACGACTCAGATCCACGTCACATCACTCACGACTCAGATCCACGTCACATCACCCACGACTCAGATCCACGTCACATCACTCACGACTCAGATCCACGTCACATCACTCATGACTCAGATCCACGTCAAATCACCCACGACTCAGATCCACGTCACTCACGACTCAGATCCACGTCACATCACTCACGACTCAGATCCACGTCACATCACTCACGACTCAGATCCACGTCACTCACGACTCAGATCCACGTCACATCACTCACGACTCAGATCCACGTCACATCACCCACGACTCAGATCCACGTCACATCACTCACGACTCAGATCCACGTCACATCACTCATGACTCAGATCCACGTCAAATCACCCACGACTCAGATCCACGTCACTCACGACTCAGATCCACGTCACATCACTCACGACTCAGATCCACGTCACATCACTCACGACTCAGATCCACGTCACATCACTCACGACTCAGATCCACGTCACATCACCCACGACTCAGATCCACGTCACATCACTCACGACTCAGATCCACGTCACATCACTCACGACTCAGATCCACGTCACATCACCCACGACTCAGACTCCACGTCACATCACTCACGACTCAGATCCACGTCACATCACTCATGACCCAGATCCACGTCACATCACTCACGACTCAGATCCATGTCACATCACTCACGACTCAGATCCACGTCACGTCACTCACGACTCAGATCCACGTCACATCACTCACGACTCAGATCCACGTCACATCACTCATCACACTCAGACTCCACGTCACATCACTCACGACTCAGATCCACGTC